TCTTCTCTTCCCACTGCGACAACCTGGGTGAAAAGAAACACTCGCGGGGGTTGAAATACCTTTGAACCTGATCCCTGATATTTTCCTTTTTTCTCTATTTCTTCTACATCTCTCTTTTTGCTCTCTTGCTTTCTCTCGCTCCGTACATGCACGTGAATATTGTGTCCGTTGCATATTTTCTTCCGCACGTTTTCCCTCGCGCATGAGCGCTATATGTTGCATATTTTCTCTTATGTATTCCCTTTGATATTTTCTTCTTTTTGTCACATAGATACTGCGTGTTGCACATGTTTCCTCTAACATATTTCCATTCTCTCTTTGCCTCCCTCTTCCCTATTTGCCCTTCTTTTCATTTTCGTTTCTTGTTTCTTGTCGGGCTCTTTTTTATGCGGGTAGATACTTCTTGTACCTATCTCTTTTTCTCCCGCGTCGTCGCGGTTTTTCCAACGACGTCCTGCCGCGCATTTCCATTATCGAATTCTCGACAGTTCGTCGACTGCTGTTGCTCATGTTTTTCGTGGCTGTCGCATTCGCGTGTGACCTGTTACCACGAGCGCGATCGACCGCGTCTGCTTGGAAATTACAGAAATTAGTAAGTGAATTGAAACTAATTTCAGCAAAATTGATTTTTGATCTGTACGGCGATTGAAAAATAATTAATTATTACTCAAATTTTTTATTTTCCTTTATTTTTTTGAGATTTAATTTAATTTAATTTTTATTTTTATGTTATATATATATATATATGTATATATTATGTAATAATTATATAATATAATATATTAATGTATAATGTAATATATTATGTAATTAAAATTATGTAATATATATTAATATGTAATATATATATATATATATATATTACATATTAATATATATTACATAATTTTTATGTTGTCTTATTATATTAGTTTTTATAAAATTATTTCCTGTAAATTTCATATTTTTTAATTTAATAACAGATCTAATTAAGATTCTTCGGCATTAAGAATTTATCTATTTATGGAGAAATATATTGAGAAACAAAATTATAAATAATTTTATAGAAACGATAAAGAAACATTTTTTAGCGACTAGTTTAAAATAAATTGCAATGAATGAGCGATAAAAGAGCAAAAGCGAATGAATGATTGTTTTCTTTCATATAGATCGTTGTTTTCGAAATACAGGTACCTGCATATACGTATATGCATTCACTATACTCTTTGACATACAATGCTTTTACGTGTACCTAAACAAAAGTGTATGATGATTTTAAAAGAAGCTCGAACTTTGAATCAATCTTTTCACAGTTTTTAAAAAGAAATTAGAATTATTATAATTATCATAAAATTTGTTATATAAACATGACCGATTACATTGTTTCAAGTTTATTAATTATAAAAAATTTTATTGTTTTATTACTTACATAGTATTAATTAATTCTTTGTAGCATTTTGATTTGTTTTTTGTATATTTTATTTTTTGTTCTCTACATTTTTATTTTTTATTTATGTCTTGCACATTTCATAATTTTCTTACGTCTTATACAGTTTTGAAATATAATATAAATTATACATGCTCATGGCCTTTTTCTATTGTCGAGTAATTTACTCTGTTCAACACGGACGTTTCTTCTTACGTGCAATGAGATCTTGAGTTGAAAGCGAGGGTTTCCGAGTGCATCCCCACGATAAATTGCAGTCACACAATATTTTTTTCATTTGGCATTTTTATTGACACTCGGTTGCACCTGTTCTCAAAACGAACATTCTGAAAAAGACACGACATGTGAATGTGACGGAGAGTTCAGGAGAAGAGTCGTCTTGAAAAGAGAACGAGGGTCCTGCAATCGGCAGGCAGGCAGGCATATAAGCAGGATAGGAAGAGAGAAGCAAGCAGGCAGGACAAATAAGGGAATCTAGAAAAAGGGGGGGATTGCAATTTGTGCTGTGAAGCTTGCTGCGAAACGAGACAGCCGACTGACGCGACGGGGTGTTCGTTCCACGCGGGGAAAAAAATGACGTCGATTGCGCGCCATTCTGCTGATGAGCGCCTCTTTGTGAAGAAGAAACGCGCTCCTTACTGCATTCGTTTTACACGGATGCATATTTTCAAAATATCCTGAAGGATATTAGGAATCTGACATTTTGTGACTTCTCTGTTTTGCAACATTTCCGTATCTAATCCCTTTTCTTCTATTTCTTCAGAAAAATTTTTTTAAAGTTTTAGAAATATGTCTTCTTTTGCTATAATAAAACATTATATAATATATATAAATTATTATTGTGTTTAATTATTGAAAGGAATATATTGAACTCGAGAGCTGTGGTTCGCAATCTCGTAATATGTTACAACGCAAATCGAGCGATTGAATGCCATCGACTTTCAATCGAATTCGAAGAACCTCCAAATTCCTCGGAGATTTCCTTGCAATCGTCAAAGCACGGCCATTCGGAGCATCTTCGTCGCAATTGATCAAAGGCGAAATTGCCGGCGTAAAAGTACTTTCGAGCTCGCTTTCGAGCTCTCTTCTATCGATCTCTTTCGCCAACTCCTAATCCTTTTCCATTTGTTTCTCCCTCGAGACTCTCGATCTTTGCTCTCGCTCCCATCGATCTCCCAACTTTTATTCGACGGCTCTGCGAAGTGTCCTTCGAAAGTTTGCGACTATCAGTGGCGGATACAAGGAGTGGCGGAGATGCGATCGCCCCCCCTCCGCCAGAGCTCTCCAAGCAAATTTTGTATATTGGAAAAAGTCGGTTTTAAATGAATTGAGAAAAAAAATTATCAGAGATTATTCGAGACTAAATAATGTTCACTCAATTTTTTTTTTAATAATAAAAAATATTAAAAATAACATTAACGATAATAATAACTAAATATTCACATTTCGTTATACCGCCTCCCCCCCCAAAACAACTCTCTGTATCCGCCCCTGGCGATGATAAAAAGCGAACGTAAAATAAAACGAGCTTCTTCCTTTCTCTTGGGAGAGGGATTTCTTTTCTTTTATTTCTTCTTTTTTTAAGAGACATGGCTGTGTGGGACATTCATTCGCTATTTCAATGCACCGCGTGATTTGCCGGACTTCCTTGCGATCACAAAGATTGGATATTTCCTTTCTTTCATTTATAATAATAAAGATTTAAAATGACTATAATTTTACAAATATGTTTGCAGTTGAAGTGATATTATTATATTATTTTAAGAAAAAAGAATAACAACATAATAGTAACCTAAAAATTTTTTTGTTAAACAAGATAATTTATTAATTCAGAAAAATTCTTTTTTATAAAATAATATAAAGTTTTCAGTTTAATCTTAGTGTTACCTCTTATTTCTTAGACGAAAGATTCGTACAATTTTTTTGCAAGTGACCACTGGTGACACGCTAGGCATCGATTCGAAAGATGGAGCAACCTCCTTTGCTCAAGAGGGCTCTTGTTTATTTGTTCCGCGGGTACCGACAGCTGTTACCGACATTAACTCCGTCTTGTTTCATCCCACGCATCTCTGCACACTATTGTCGTCGCGATTACCCCTCCTGATCGTCGGCTATTATCGAGCGAAACCCTCGAGTCGAGAACCTGAGAGGCGCACATGTTCATTTAATTCATAGGGGAACTAATATAAATCGCAGAATTCAGAAAACTTTGCGGTATAGAAATGTATAATAGATAATGAACTGATTGTAAATTAATAAAATAAAATATTAAATAATTTAATATTAACTGGCGCATATCCCTTCCTTTTTAAAAAATGACATCGATACTCGCATCTTTCGAAGTATCGTTGTCTCTTTTCCGCGATGCCAATTGGTTATCTCGTGACGCTTACTTCGTGAACAGCTGTCATTGCATATTTTGACAGTTGTGTGTATTGAGGTTGATAGAGTGTGTAGCAAATACAGGAAGAAATGAAAAATGCGAAGCGCGCGTATTTAAAATGTTAGTATATAAAATAAACAATTATTTGCATTCAAACTAGAGCAATTGATATAATCGATTTGATGTAATAATTTCTATCAAGTTTTTATCACCTTTCTCAAACTGAATCAATCAAGGCCAGCGTGAAGCGACAGGTGATTCCGTTATCGTGCAGGCAAACCTTCTTGAAGTGCATTCGATGCACCTGGCACGATCACTAGGGGGAGGAAGAAAACAGGATCAGATCGTTGAAACGGACAAGAGGGTTCAACTCACGCGTTACATTATATCTTGCGGGCCTCGGGATCATCATCGTTTATCATCGCGCCTCATCATCATCCGACGTACCGTTACGCTCGCGTGCCCCTACCTGCATCGATGTTCACCGCGATTTGCAATTTCATTATTTTTCATTAATCTTTGTTATGAAGAGAGAGAGAGAGAGAGACCCTTTTTCTATTTTATTTGAAGTACGATAAGATTAACTATACACTTTTCTCTCACTTTGATATAAGTAAATACATGTATCAGAAAGCTACTATGCAAAATATTTTGTTTACTCTTAATTACGAAGATTCTTATAGAGAGAAAATAAGAAAACGCATTAAAATAGAAGAAGGTATTATCAAATATGATTTTTCTGAAAGATTTTGATATAGATTTTTTAATAAAATTACTGGAAAATTTTTAGGAGCTTTTTTGAAGTTTTAAGTTTTTAATTTGTCTCTCTATTTATAACATTTGTATATTTAAAACATTGACAATAGTATTATTACTACTAATGAATTATATCTTCTTTCATTGTAAAAACTTCATTAAATTAACATATATTTAACAAGTTATCCTACACAAAGATAAAACAAACCTTCCTGGAGAATCGAATTTTCTTTCATAAAAGCTCTTTTTAAGAGCTTCCATCCCTCGTGTACCTATTCAACTCCTATTGAAATTAAAGTGGCCAAACGTTGAATTGCGAAGGGTAGGAGGACAAGAAAGACGAATTGATAGACGAAAGAAGAGTCTTCGAAGCATAGTTTATGTGCGGTTTATGTGAGTCACAGCCTATTTGGAACTCAGTTGAGATCCCACGGGATGTTTGTGGGGATCCGCGAATATAGGGACGAAGAGGGAATACGAGGCACAGAGCTTCCCCGTGCTAATTCGACGCACGTGCACGAGAAGACAGAGAAAAAAAGCCCGCAGGAGACGATCGAAATTGAAACAAGCTCTCGATCGCCGTTCCCGTCAATTAGAAGCCTGATATTATCTTTGCATAGTGGGTGCGAGAGGGTTTACTCGTTTTCTTTCTTTCCTCCATAGGCATACACATGATGTTCTGCTTTAGGCTCACTTTGCGATTGCAATAAAAAGGACAAGGTACTAACTTCATTAACGATCGCGTGTAACAGCTTGTCTCTCTCCCGTAACGTCAGATCCGTTTTATTGCCAGCGCGTCGGCTTGTTTGCGAAGAAAATTCGTTTATTTTCCGCATCTCACCGTTCTCCCCCTCGGACCTATATTAATACAGCGAAAATATCATGGGGTGCGACAGGTCCCAAAGGTCGTATTTTTTATGGGCCAAAATCATTATTTTTTTATCATAAAAGTCCACGTATGTAAATCACTATCAATCTAATCATATTAAATTATTCTTTACCATTGTATATTGCCTTGCGATTTTTCTAATGTGTATTGGCCAATCGAAGAATACAAGAATCGAGATACGCATTCTGAACTAATATATCATTTCAAGTTAAGATTCTGGCACTATCCCCCAAATCCAGACGTCGCTTTCCGTTTCATAGACGCATTACGTCCAATCTCTAATTGTCATAATCTAATCTTCGTTTAATCTTCTAATCGAGATAAAAGAATCCATCCCCGCGCGATGCATCGACTGCTAATCGGCCTGGAAGCCCGAGTAAACGGCAGGGTGCGATGTAACACGTGCCAGTTGTCGAGCTGATTCGACAGCTAGTCGATATCGGAACTTTCCTTGAAAAAGGTCAGACTTAGTCATCGAGCAAGCTTCTAAGGGTTCTTCTAATCCTCGATAGTAGCCTTTTCAGGGTGGGCCAAGATGTAACTTGATCCCAAACTGTGTATCTAATCACTCCTACTCTTCCGTTCCGCTCAGCTCAATTCGTCTTTAAAGATAATTTTGGCTCTGCATGCTGTCAGAGTAAATTTTATTTGATAAAGATAGAAAAAAGAGAAAGAGGAGAAGAAAAAAAGGAAGATTGTAAATGATGAAATAATTTAATGATGATAATGATCGTATTTAGAGAGTATGGTAATTATTATGGATACATTTTTAGTGTTGACGTAAGCTTTTACCATCCGACTATATATCGAGAACGAAAAATAAATCTTTTAAATATAAAATCATTATAGCTTATCTTTTTAAATATTATTTCTGTTTTTAAAAATGTATATAAATGTAAAAAGAATATGTAGCACCCAGGTAGCAAGCTAACGTTATTTGTCATCACATTGATGGCATTACCTTGTTACCTGGGAAAGAAGAGGACCCTCTGATTATAATCGACGGAAGGTGATGGAGGGATTTATTCGCTAATTAATGGCCCTAATCCCGATTTTTTTCAGCACAATCGAATCAATTAAGCAAATATGTCTCTTTTATACTTTGTTAGTTTGATTAATACTAGAGACAATTTTTACATCATCCATTTGCTTTATCATATCGGTTATTCTATTACGACACACATGCATTTGCATTATCTTTATCTTTTGCATTTGCGAGAAGAAAACTTCTATCCATGATAAACAAAAAGGGGATTGAAGTGACACTCGATATAGAAAAGAAAAAAATAAATGTTCGACAATTTAAGAGTCGCTCAACGGTAGATCGCACGCTTATCGCGCTTATGCGCTGTAAATGTTCTCTTAGCTTCACATCTACGAGAACAGCTCGTACGTATACACTCACAAATAAATTCTCGATACGCAAGATCGCGTTCCGTTTCACTTCCGCGCGTCTCGAGTTATGGTCCAGATAAAGGCTGAGACACATTTCGTGAATTACATTGAGAGCGAAAAGAGATTTCTTGAGAAGGGGCATACTTATCGATTCTAAAATTTTGCAAAACCGAGAGTGGTAAATTTGCAATACATTTTAGTTAACATACATAATATAACAATATAATTTTACAAATTATATACATACATATATGCGTTTATGTGTATGTGTATACACCATATTTATGTATTTTATTTAATTTGTAAAATTATATTTTTATTCTTTATGTATTTTAACTAAAATGTATATGTATAAATTCACCGCTCTGCGATTTATATATATAAAATGATTTATATATATGTATATATATATATATATATATAAATATATATAATAAATTTAAGACTTATCACCGTGGTTAATCATTTTGGTCTGCCAATCGCGCTGTCACACGCATGTGTGTGAGTGCACACGTGCATTGCGAACGGATGCCCTTATGTGTCACGCTCATGCACCGTTGCAGCGATTCTCTCGTGCTTCGAAGCTCTCTCGAAACAAAGGGGCTAAGGGATCCCGAGATGAGGCTATAGTGGGAGTATATGAGCTCGTATAAAATGTAAGTACGAGTTTATACGCGCGAGCGATTGCGGGAAGATGCGAACTGCAACTACGAACGTTACTTATTATTAGTTTTGAACAGCATAATCTCAATCATTGACAGGACATTTTAAATTGTAATATTCTCCGAAGTGAAACTATTTTTGGAGAATTCTCTTTGAAAGATGGTTAATTATATATAATTCGCTTTTGTAAAGTATTATAAAAATTTTAGAATTCTGTTTATTATTTTTGTGACTACCTAAAATTTTATAAAAAATAGACGTTTTAAAAGTATTTCTTAAAACTTTCTTTACCTTTTAAAAAAATATATGTGTTTATAAAGTATTAAAAAGTGTTCTTTATAAATATGTTTAAATTCTATTGTAATTTTTATTGTTGATTTTATTGCATGCTGTACATAGAAACATTAAAGATAATTTTCGGAATTATGTTCCTACAGTTTTGAAATCAGTAATCAATTTTTTAAGTATTAATTGTCGACGCTTAGCATTAATCATGGGAACTAGTCGGTCGTCCCTTTTGCATTCCCACGTGGGTCGATATTGTCTTATCTTGGGCGGAAGAGGCAATGAGAGAATAGTGGAGGGAGCGCTGAACGTTAGTGTCAGTGAAGTGAGTGAATGAGTGCAGTCACGATCATTGATCTTCTCGCAAGAAATTCTCTATAGGTAAAAGTCCTGTTTTCACCCAGAGTATTTTATCTAGAGATCAAGATTCATCTATCTAAAATTTTGAGTTTGCAAGAAGTCCTTCGGCGGTAGGATATTTTCTTAATTAGAAACCTATAAGAATTCTTTATATTAAACGTTTGAATTATTATTTTCACAAAGAATCTTCTTTATAAATATAATTTTTTGTTAATCAAAATTTTTTTGTGAAGAATTCTTCATAGATATATTTTTTTATTAATTATTTCTATTTCTATTATCTTCTTGTAAAGAAATTTTCCATACATAGCATTATTTTCCAATTCAATTCTTTTTGTGTAAATGTTTCCATCAGGCAAAATATTATCATAATTAGAGCATCAAGAGAACATTCGTCTCTCTAATTCTGTCTCGGAAATCGCAGCGCACTGTCACTAATATCGCGACAGATCGATCGTCTCTTGCGATGAATCATTCTTGTGACAGGCGAGTGAATGCCTAGTCACGTTTTAACTCCCCTAAACTGTCTATCTCTTTTCCACCTCCTTTGTGCACTAGATAAAAAAAGGATCGAATTTATTACGATACCCCGTGTCTGGCGGTTTCAATAGGGCTGTTTCGAACACAGATTCGATCTTTACTTGCTGACGAGAACCAAACGGATGTTTTTGTTTAATCCTGAATGACGTTTCAGCTCTCGACATATTGTGAATATTTTTAAGCTGTGAAAATAAATCTTCGAACTAATTTAATTTCTATTGCGGCTAATAATTTAAAAGTAAAATAACAAATATTTTAAACTTGTCATATACAATAGATTGAAAGAGAATTTTTTATCGTTAAACAATTAAAGCTATCGCAATGAGCACTAAACTAATTAATTAAATAAGGCAGATATAGTTGCGTTAAACACGATAAAAAGTCATGTTGGTCACCAAAAGATTTTTGCATCGTCGAACACTTCTATTCGTCTTGTGTCAACCATATTTATGTCACGTACGTAAGGACAATTGGGACAGTTGACGAATTAGGCACTTGCAACTACTGCAAATCACTGTCGAGCGAGTCAATGAAGAACGTGATTGTCAAACCGACACATATCATTTTGAAATATATTTTTAAGGAATTGAAAAATTTGATCTTTGTCCTTTTTATTTTTTATTTTTGTACATCTAATATTTATAACGAAAATAATTTTTATATAGAAATCAAAAGCGAATTAAAAGATTTTTTATATTATTAAAATAAATAAAATAAATTAATTTTGATTCTAATTTCGTTAATATTTAATTTTATAAAATTACCATTTGTTAAGACATTATTTTAAAATTTATTAAACTTTTTTTCATCTAAGGCTAATTTATTTAGATTTAAAATCACTAATCTTTGTTAAACTCACTAGTTCATGTACAGTCTCCATATTTAATCACTGATATTTACGTTTCAAGTTATCGCTCGGCAAACTGCATGCCGACGCGGATTATTTGACAGAAACAACGTCTACGATTACTCGGGAAGAGCGAATCGGGTGGTAGTATGAGGTAGCGGATTAATCTTCTCGCTCTCGGTAAACACGAACAGTTTATTTTGTCTACGGTGCGCTGCACCGTGCATTGCACCATTCGAATGTATGTACATGCAGTGAGTGGGCTGCTGCAACAGCCGTGCGACTGTGCGTATTTAATGACGCGGTCAATTATTATCGTCTTATTGAAACTCAGCCAACGACAATGTGTTTCCTGACGATAGAAAAATCAGCCATAATTCTTTGCTCTTGTGCTTCAATATTCAATAGACTCAATATTAGAAAGAATGAACATGAACACTATTATTATTTTACATTTATAGAATTAAAATTTTGTTATTATTATCACTTAGTTACTTCCGAATTTATTAAGAAATATTTAGATTAAATTTTATTATTTAAAAAATTAAGGAGGTTACATCGGAGATTACATTCTTCTCACTGAATGCATGTTGTAAATGTCAGCACATGCATATACAAATAATATTATCTTATAACAGACATATGATTATATGTATAAAATATCTTTTTTAATGAAAAATCCATTTAAATCGCAAAAAAATATTCTTAAGTTAATAATTCCTTATATTTCTTTTTTCAGGAGGTCTGAAACACGGGAACGGTGGCGTGGGCAGCGCGAGCAGTTCTAGAAGCACTAGCCCGAGTCAACAACAACCGTCTCAGGGCGGTCTTTCGTTCATTCCGCAACCTAGAAGTCAGAATACGAATCGACAACCCACGGCTACTACACCGAGGTAAAATTGATATTTAAAAAAATAGATATTTTATTGTGATCATGCGTTTAATTGTTATTAAATTTTATTATTTGAAGAAATTAAAATAATTAAAAATTAATTATTAAAGAATAAAAATTAATATAAAATTAAGAAAATTGTTTAGAAATTATCCTTTTATTAAAACTGCATTTGTAACTATGTTGCAAATATGTAACTTATTGTAGGTATTGTAATCTTAAATATTATTATTTGAAGTGTTACTTAGAAAAATATTTATATTTTTAAATAACTAAAAAAATGTTTAGATATTTTTTAATTTTTAATTTGAATTTTTGTAATTAATTTACAGCCCTCGAGCATCTACAGTAGGCCGTCCTAATGGAGGCCTGAGATCGCAACAACAGGCTTTACCATATTCTGGAAATACTGTCCCGGCACCTCAGCCAAATAAGAATTCCGTATTGGACAAGTTTAAACTTTTCAATAATAAAGATAAAAATCAAGAGCGAGGAAAGACTTCGTCCGGAGTTTCAAAACGCACTTCCAGTTCTTCCGGATTTTCTTCAGCTCGATCTGAACATTCAGACAGTTCAACTTCTTTATGCGATCAAAGCAAGACCCAAGCCCAGGAATCGCCAAAGAGTCGTGCTTTGAAGTCAAAACTGCAATCAGCTAAACCGGCAAAGCAGGCCAGTCCAAAGACGAGCAGAAAGGAGCAGAGTAAGGCCCAAAGTAAAATTGCGCGCACAAGCAAAGGTCCGCCGAGCTCGGAAAAGCTGATGACGCTGTATAATAATCCGGTTGTGGAGCAAGATATTAAAATTGCTGGTAAAGCCATCGGCACTAAATTACCGAGTGACAGGAAAACGCCGACTCTTCAAGAACTGGTGAAGCAACCGGTAGTGCAGCCTTCAAAACCGAACCCTTCCGCCCTGACGCCGCCTAGACAAATTAATCTTCAAGATACTAAAAACGTAAACTTGAGGAACGAACTTCCGACGACGAAACTTTCGCCTAGACCCAAATTGGAGCTTCCAGGCAAGATACCGGACTCAAAAATTTATTTGCAAAATGTGAAGCCACCGCCGAATGGTTTGAACAAGGATTTTATGGTGCAGAAAGCTATCCTAGGAAATACCAACGGTATTATCAAGCCATCCGAACCGGGAGAAATGCTTGTTCACGAAAACGATACTTTTAATCGTACTCTAAGCATGAACCAAGCGAACCTATCAGATGGCAAGGATCTTAGAATGAAGCAGAAAGAGCCAGAAGTTTTAGAAGCTAATCACGAACAGCAATCAGGAATGGAAAGCTTTGATTCACCTTCGAAGACTGGAGTATCAAATCAGGAGAAAGTTATTTGTGAAGAAGAAGTAGAATCTATCAATGTTTCCGATAAACAAGATTCTATGTCGAATCGCGTAGACTCAGTAGTTGACGAAAGGTTAACTAATACTGAAGATGGATTAACGAGCATATCCGCGCAAAGCAATCTAAATTTCGGGTCTAATAAACCGTTAGCAGGTTCGAACAGTCCTCTTCATGGCCCGAATCCAGCCGGGCTCAGTCCGGGTTCCAGCATCCCGAAACCTACCGCTCTCGTGAAAGGCACATCGAAACCGTCGAAAGAGAACAACACGGTCAATGGTGTGCCAATGCCGACAAAGCCGAAGAGCGGCGATACTCTCCATCGCAAACTTGATCCCAACACAGTGGCAATGGTGTCGCCGATGCCGAGTATTTCGGACCTTATGTCTGAAAGCTCGCATAGCAATTCTAACAGCACCGGGCAGAGTAATTCGAGCGACAGTAGTGTGATTTACAGACCAAGCAGCGAAAGTGGCAGCGAGATCAAGACGATCCCTAACCGAAAGATTGACACCACGTTTGAGCAGATGGAAAAGGTCAGTGTCTTGGAATTTCTCTTAAGAAATAGTTATCGAATGAAATCTGGGGAGTAGTTATAGATGATCGTAGTTATAGAATTGCTTCAAATTTTAATCGAAGAATTTATTTATTTTTTTAAATTCAATTATTTTTAGTTACAAGAGTATACGTTTAATAATCATAAGATTACACCAGAAAAAGTAAATTTTAGAAAACCTTAAGAAAGTTTCCTAATTTATAATATTATTTTTTTAAATCTCAGATTAATATTTTTTAAATCCTAGATTCTTGTATAGTCTAGATAATTTTAAAACATTTTTTATTTTCTTTCTTTTTACGACATAAATTATCGGTACAATATATGTATATTATTCTTTATTATAAAAAAAGACTAAATAAAATTTAAGGTTTGTCACGCAAAATCAGTTTAAGATTTGATAGATATGAAAATCAAAATAAAAAATTATTTGAATATTAAATTTTACGTTCTCTATTTTCGTTTTCTTTTTGAAGGTGCTGTCGGAAAGCTCAACGTGCGGTGGTGCTCTAGCAGACGATGAGGCCGAGATGACTGTGAAACCCATGCAACCTCTTCTACGCGGGTATACACCCGCGGCCCGTGGCTTGCAGACTCTACCGAGCCGCACCACGGCCCGACAGTACACCGTTCTGCATTCATCATCGCATCATCATGTCGGTGGTCATCACGACTACGCCGACGTAGACGTCGCTTCCGGTTACCTGAGCGACGGTGAAGTGCTACGCGGAGGTGGCATGAGTGTTGGCAGCAGAACTCTTTCGGATCTATGCGACGGATACATGTCTGAGGGCGGCGCATCCCTATACGCTCGTAGAATCAATCCTTCCTATGGACACGATCACGACAGGTAAGTAACTTTTCCTAATTTTTTGAGACGTAATCGGAAAACGTCAACTAATTAAAATCCTGTTCTAAATAAATTTTTTTTATCAATTTATAATATTTTAATATGCAACAACATTATATTTTATGATTTATGTATCAAAACTTAATTTTCTTCGTATAATGATAACAATGATAATAAATTATATTAGTACAAGAAAATAGAATATAATCTGGTATATTGCAACACGTTAAAAGTAACATTGCTTTTGATTTTCTATCAACGTTGCGACGAACTTATACTATTATCGAGATCTCAGAAAATGGATCAGCAAATCAAATCGTCGCGAGAGAGCTATTTGAGTATAGCTTTCCTGGAGTTGCATGAACTTTGCGTATCGTGCAATTCATGACACGCGCGAGGCGTCGCAAAAGTTTGCCGGATTGCCGATCCTTTGGATCATTTTTTATCGTATGAAATATGGATGAAGAAAGTGCAAAAATGTACGACGTTTGCTCGTGCAAGAGAGTGACGATAAATTAACGCCGCGTAGGCGACGCCGAGCGCGCGCCGAGTATTGATCAAGAAAGCTCGAGTCTATGCGTCTCGCGAGCTTTTCGGTGAAAAGCCCGTCACCCTCGCAAAGTCTTACATCTCTCAGTCTTCGATGCGTCGTATTAATCTTCGTTAAAATCATTGCTAAAATAAATGCTGAAAAAAAGCATTTACAATCGTCATTTAAATAGAAGATATAATTCACAACAGGATTAATATCAAAATATTAAATATTAAAAATTAAGAAATTGATGTAAGAAATCTTTTAAATCTTTCTTAATTAATCTTATTTCACTTATTATAATTCTGTCATATATATATATATATATATATATATATATATATATATATATATATATACGTCTAAAGATTACAGCTTTCTGTTTTCTGGGTGCATTTAGCATAGAAGCACTTTCTATTTTAGACAACGTTTAAACGTTGTCCGGCACAAAGTGGATTCGCGTCGTGACTCGTTCATTACGCTCCGCCACGCCCGTGCCGCTCTCTCCGTGTTTGCAACGAAATACTCACGACCGACCGAGAGAGAGCTTTATTATTAGCAAAGCTCCGGCCTGTGTATGTACATTCAAATTAAGATTTCAAGTAGCCAGCCGAATCCATTAGAGATACGCGGAGACGAAGCGTAGGTGTTCTTTACGGAATGCATTTTCTTTGCATTGAACGTACATGTAGTTTTATTTGTGCCATACGAACTTTTTGCACGTCGATTACGACTAATATTCTGATTAAATCCGATAAATGATTTATACCATCATCAAATTTTCTGCTTTTTTCTTGTGCTTTCTTTAGAAAAAATTAATTTTCTTAAAGTAACTATACTCTTCGTGAACCAACAATTTATGCTTGATTTAATAATGAAAAACTTCATTTTCGGTAGTCTGTTCGCGTTGTTTACACGAGCGTCAAGCGAGTGAGTCATGCGTTGCTCGCGAGGAAAATATGACTGCTACGCGGTCAAACTATGCAGGTCTCTAATTAGGCAAAATTCACGAGGCTAATTCCGGAGGCACTTCCAATTACTCAGCGCTTCATGGACTGCATTTACCGCGATTGAATTAAAACATGGTCAATCATTCGATTAATCCGCGAAAATGATTTTCTCCACAAATATCTGCGGTCTCATCAAGGTCCTAACGCTCAAATTGAAACCCATGAGATATTATAGAAAATTTGTAGAATCTAACATAAAATTATTGGAAAAATTAAATATTTTTTAGTGTCTTTGAAATTATCGATTCCATTCCAGAGGCTATTTCACTTCTTTAATATAAGCAATTATAAAAAAAATTAGTATCTCTTATTTTGATTAACATATTCAAAGCTCATTGAAATAACGTTAAGGAGGGAAGCACTTGTATTTCTTTTTTATTAGAAACGTTTGATTCCAAAATATATATCCAATAATTAAGAAAGAATTTTCTTCAAATGGTATCACAAATTCGCCATACAAGGTGTTGTTTACCATAATGCACTCTGGAAATGCGCCTGAAGATATGGCAGACCCTTTCGCCTAACTTGCTTCGGCATAATCGAGCTCACGGCGCGTATCATCCGCTTGAAACCCGACGCGCTTTTCAGAAATTCAATATACTCAGTCGTAAGACCCTTCCACGACCCTCATCATCATCATCGAGGAAAACCGTGTAGAACCTGCAACAAAGACGTCCTGCATATTCCGACGATTATCGCACAGTCTTGCAAAAGTTTTCCCTCGCTGTCGAGAAAACCTGTCTAAATATATTTAAAGATAAAAGGATCGAATAGGGTTGTATATTATTCAAACAATAGTCTGAAAAGAATAGTATTTTTGTCAGAATATCGCGTTTGTAATATAGTAATATACAATATAGTATATAAAGTGTATCGAAATTGCTGGTAACAATTTTTATACTATTTATTAATATCAGAATTATTTATCAATATTTATTTTAATTAATAACATAATTAGTCAAATAATATCATTTATATAAAAAAATATTAATTTTGATAGTGTTATTATCTTTTTAATTCTTTTATATACATTTTTAATTATTTTTTTATATAAAAATAAATAGTGATTATAATACTCTTTATTAAATAAATAATTATAATTCTTAATATAATAATCGTTAATTTTTTAATATTCTGTTCTATTGCAATATTATATTTACTTTCTTATTGTTAGCAAAATTTGTGCATTTCCGACTTTCTTATATACCTAACGAAAATAATTATTCTTTTTCAGTCTCTTATAATTTATTTTCTTTTTATTACTTTTATTTTTCGAAATACAGTGGTGTATTAGATATATGTATTTACTCTGAAATCATAGTTACTCATTGATAACTTTCGGTTATGTCTTTTGAAGCGGGAACACACGCTCCCATTTAGGGCACGATATATTCTCGGATGCGCGCGGCACGAACGGAGCGAGACATAGCGAACGAGGCTGTGTTACGTATAGCGTATGCAAAAAGATAAGCGCCTTTGTCCGTTCTGACAGCAGCCTCTCAGCATTGTCCTACGACTCCTTTCCGTGCCGTAGAATCCGATCGCGACGTGACGCGTGCCTTTTCCTCGCCCTCGTGCATTCTGACGATGAGATGACGATGCCGCCATATATCATTCCGGCGCATCTCATTGGACATACGCCAGATTCTTTGTGGGAACGAGTTTAAACAATACGACATAAAATACTTCTAACTACTTTTTATATTTTTGAAATCCCAATATGAACTTCGGAAAAAATCTTTTATGTCATCTTGTATGCGGCCGACAAATTTCAAGTATAAAACGTACTCTCTAGGTAATAGTTCATCATCGTGAAAAAGAGTAAGCTTTTGCATCTATATATAGGTGTAGTGAATTTAAAGTTATGTTGTGCGTTGTGCGAACAATTTTGATAGTAATATTTGATTGGCCGTAAAAATAATATTTTTCAGATATTGTAAAATTTAAATCTTTGGCTGCTTCTTCTAACTCGTAATCTTGAAGATGTTCAAGTGTCTTTTCGTTATGTCCGCCTTCTCAAACATAATTAGCCGCACTGATAAATGGTATTAATTTGATGTTATAATGTATTGGTATTACGTTATCTGGTAAATTATAACTGATTTTAGTCTGAATTAGTTTAGATCGTAATACAGGAAGATTTGTCGAATTTTTATCAGCCATTACAGCGATGAATATTAGGCTATTAATTAATAACAACATTAAAAATAACATGAAAAATTTTGTTTCCACCTTGTATATTGAAATATATTTTATTTGAGATATCATTCTTTATAACAATTAATTGCTGGTACAAGCTTAATGCTGTAAGTATGTTATTATTTGGAAAGATCACCGAAGACTAATAACGTGTGTGTTCTAACTGATATATGTAAGTACACTTTGTCTTGTAAACAATTTCGATGGTTGGATATTTTGCTAGTTGATGAATACCATTAATCAATATAGCTAAATATATCCTTGTAATTTCATATTTTAAATTAATTTTATAATTAGTATAAAAATAATCAAGAAATTGCATTTTACATTTCCCTTCTTTCTTTAGAGTTTTTTAATTATATATGCCTCATTAATTTTTTATATCATCTTTTTAGTAATAAATTATGAAATTAAAAGTACTTTTATTTAAGAATGATACGAAAAATTTAAAGATATATATATATATTATTTAAAAAATCTACAATTGTGAGATTCGTGAAATATAAACGCAAAGTTGATCTTCTGGATTTAGTTTATTTTTAGCCTGAAAATAAAATAATGAAAGTTTACATGCCAGATTATGTATATTATATAAAAATCTTTTTTTTCTCTCTCTGTCTTCGAATATTTATTTTTGATTGCTATAAAGATACGGACGAAACTAGAGACTCTTGGGACACTTCTCGGAACGCAAGATCCATTCATCTAGACGAATCGTGGCGGAGACGGACAATATTTATTCGTAGCGGTCGCGACGCTTGCGTGGACGCCGTGACGTCATGACGATCGATTCGGCGTCGCTGCGCGGTGGCGCGATCTGACGGTGTCAGGGAGTTATTTCCAGGGCGGTTCGAGGGGTTGTCTCGCGGCGGGGTTGCTTTCCCAACGACAGAGGCAAGAGAGTACGTGCCGAACCGCCGAGGGTGGGGAGTGTCGTTCTCGTCGTCAACGTTGAAGATACGCCAAGTTTATTTCGTATCAGTGATAATTTTCACTCCGGCTTCGTCCCCGTCGCTCGGGGAAGTTTCTTTCAGTTTCCTTGATGTGACTGTGTTCTAAGTAGCAAGGGTGGAAGACCCGGAAGGGTGTTCAGAATCCGCTGGAAGAAACGCGGCGGCTCAAACTGAACGGTAATCTTGTGTTCCTGTTTGTTCGAAGCTTTCTGTTGGCTAGTTGTAACGTTGGCTGAATGCGGGGATGAATACGGGGTGTGGAAGATGAAAAAATTGAAAGAGCCAAAGTGAAAATCTGGAAGGAGTATGATCTCGACGTGTCACTTTAGATCATATAAATATATACCGATCGTGTTTTCTCAAACAAGGATTCTTTAACATTTTACTTGTGATGACAAAAAAAAAATCCAAATCTATTCCGAGAATTCTTTATTAATCAAAACTCAATAAAAAATATTAAACCCGCTTTCTTGAATTTATATTCCTTATTATGATAATTTTTAAATGTAGTTTATATAACAAAAAATTATACAATTTTGACACACATTAATTCCGTAATAAGTAAAGCTTCAGAAAAATTTACTTTTTTAGAAGATGAATACAATTTAGTATACTTATTAATTATTATTAATTTCAATTTATTATTTCTCTATTTATAATAATAATTTAATGTACTAAAAAATATTTCACAATCTGACATAACATTTGTCTAAATTCCTCTTAAATTACTTTAGCTTTTACTTTTGCTCGTACAACAAAGTAATATTGTACTTTCCGGAAGATTTATCATCTAATTATAAATACTATAGCTACAAACTTGCAATGACTATCACGCGAGTTTCTCAAGATAGCTTCTCCTTTGTTCTTTTCTCTGCCGAGTTCTATCATAGAATACGAGACAATATCTTGAAACTAGATGTAACGTTAGAGCTTATAGAATTCATGTTCGTCATGATATTAAAAGACTTTGCGATGGAGACAAGTCTTTTAAAACTTGTTAAACATTTACAGAGTCGTAGATTTGTCCAAATTTTGTCAAAAATTGATAAATTATAAAATTTTTAAAAAATTATAAATTATAAACTTTATCTTCTAAACAAAATTATCTTTCTTCTTTAGCAATTTACAATCCGCTTTCGCTTCCTTTTCCCCAATGACAAATTAAATTAACTTGAGCACAATACTAAGATTACGTTGACGTTCTAGGAAAGTCAGAACTTTGTTTTTCGCGTTTACAGATGACTTTCGCGAGGCTTTCTTTTCTCGAATTTCTTCCATGTTTTGCGTCTTTGGCAACTTTTTAATTATTGACACTAATTGTCCTCGTAATCAAGAAGTTTCGCGAGTAAGTAACGAATTCAAGAAATGACATCCGAAGTTTTCACTCGCAGTTCAAGTTTCTTGTGAGAGCAAAGTTATCGCAGGCGTACTCGAGAGTTGCCGTTTCAATTTCGTTTCCGGTCAAAGGCTTTCTGCAAATATTTAATCTGCACAAAGTGATCAGCGAGCTCGTCGATCACGGAAGTAGAAAACGATTTAGAAGTTAATACAGTGAAAGAAAAAATATTCTATCGATCACGCTTGATGAAAAAGAAAGTCGCTTGTAATTTACTATCGACTTAGCTCATTAAAATTTAAAAATAATAAAGATAATCTCAAATTAAAATTTGCTTAAAATAAAATTAAAATTATCATTTATTTAAATAAATTTAAAAATTCATACATATCATAGCTTAATCGAACTTGTTTCAGAAATGCGACAATTATTCGTAATGAAAATATTTAGAATTTACTTGTAAAGATTTGAATTTTATTTAATCACATGAAACATACATACACTATACAATAATATCAAGGAAACAAAATAGAAAAAACGAAGATTCTTTTTTTTTTAGTGAACATTAATTGAACATATTTCAGTAATTACGAGACTTCTCTATGCTGGCATGGTGTGATAGCTCCTGTTTCTATGTACTTCCGTTGAAATTTCATTTAGCCCTTTTTTCCTCCAAAATGTTGAGCTGGTGAATCAGTTTGGCCCCCGACTTGGTGTCGGGGCTAAGTACGTTTTTTTACGAGACGCATTAACCCTCGACTGGCCGCTGTAAGGACCGTTAAAGTAACGATCTCAACCTAAAAAGGCACGTGCAAGATAAATTTATAGAGCTTGCTATAAAATCACGCGAGAGTTTCATCGTGAACGCGTTTATTATTTCTTTTTCTTCTGACGCGTTTGTATAGTGGTAATTTTAACCCTTGCTTCAGAAAAATGGGTTTTCTATGAGATTGATAAATCTTGTTTATCTAAATTGATAGTGATTGATGAAGAATTGATTCTTATATACATACATACGCATACATACATACATACACATATATATATTATATCTATAAAGAGATTGCAGAATGCAAAAGAAAGATAACCCTAAATCAAATAATTTATTGTGTATTTGTGTAAGAAGTTATAGAAATTTTCATTGTTTAAATCCATGGCCTTTTTACTATTATAGATTTATGATTTATTTAATTTGGGATTAAATTTTTTTTTGCATTCTGCAATCCTTTTATCTTTACAATCATAGTGCTCAATCACCATTGAATCATTTGAATTATACGTATCATGCATATCTACATGAATAAAGTATTTGTGATATTTTTTACAGCAAAGTATAGCATTCTATTGCGAGAAAATTCAATCGCGATATAAACAAATGCGCGAAAAATATCCATAGGCAATTCTCGCCTGTCGCACAAAAGCAATAGAACGCATTCTCTCGCATGTAGGATTAATAATTATATCGTCGTGAATCACATGCAGAGGACACATATCGCCTCCACGCCAATATACGTTCGAAAAAAATATTTGCGCGCCTCGTCCACCATAAATCCGAACGCTGAATAAAACCGTCATATTCCCTTGTGTCATCGCATTGTCGCATGTTTTGTCAAATCAGTAAAAGTTACTGCTTTGATCGAACTATTCGATTTTGAATTTCCAAAAAAAGATAATAATGATAGATAAATATCAGAAAATGCAAGTTCTTTGCTAATTTAACATTTTGTTCATTGATGTTCCTTTCTTACATCATAGCTATAACGAAATTGTAGCGATGTTATAAATGAAATACATTTATCATGTTATGCAAATGAATCATGCATGATGATTGCTGTCTGCAGCTTGAGAAAAATAACATCAGCATAAAAGAAAAAATTTGTACACAAATAGAGAAAAGTTTAATTTATATCGAGAGATTCATATCGTACAATAGAAAACAATTCAAAATAATCGTTGAATATATTTTGCTTTAGTCATGACTATTGACTGCTACGAGAATCTCAAGAAACAAAAACAAATAAAATTTTATCACATTATGTGATTAAACCACAATACTGCATTCCGAATAATGATAGCGACGCAGTAGAAAAAGTCCGCAACACAAATTTTATACCATAAAAAAGAATTATTTTAAATAATTGCAAACACAAGAGAGAGAGAGAGAGAGAGAGAGAGATCTTTTTTTTAATAATAATGTAAATATAATAATTATACGAGTAGGTGACTCTTAGTGCCTTTCTTTTACTAATTATTTTTATTTAAAGAGTATTATATAATATATTCTATTTATAATAATTATATTTTTTCTACATTAATAATGAACATTACACAAATAAGCGAAACAATTTTTTTTTGCATTGTATGATTAAATAGTAACTGAATTTTCCGGATAATAATAGCGACATTTGCATTGATTCGTAGGTACGTGGGTGGTTCGCGGCGAGAGCTGTCGGGGGTGAAGGAACTGGTGACCTCGAGGCGGGTGCAGAAGAATCGGCCGTCGGGGATCGCGAGGTCGGATGGCGGCTGCATCGGGGGCGTCAGTCCGGGAAGCGGCGGCGGTGGCGGTGGTGGTGGCGGCGGCGGCGTCGGCGTCGGCATCGGCGGCGTCGTCGCCGGCGGTCTTCTAGGCGGCTGCAGCGGCGGGAACGACGCCTTGGCGGAGCTCACAATCGAGGAGCTGGCTTCCATTCCCGCCGGAAATCACACCTCCGCCAATCACACGGGACATCCCTCTCATCACAAGGTCAGCGAACTCACGAATTCGGAATCGATAGCGCACGGTTTGAGCATGAGGGTGAGGGAGAAAGAGAAACGCGCGACGGGGCATTCGGAAATAGCTTCTATTAATTCTTATTTTCCAATTAGCCGAGTCATGCTCTGGTTAATCGCTGTCGGTGTCGTTTTCTCGTATTATCATCTGCCAAGCAAGAATTTAGATTCCTCGAAATGAAAACTTTCGAATTGGCGATAAAAATTTCTTCCAATTTTATTTCAATACTATATTTCAATCTTATTTTTTTATTATTTTTAAAGTTCTTTATAAGTGTCTTTTAATCCTCTCAATTATTTATTTTATTTTTTATTGAGGAATATTTACTTTTAAAGAGACTACTGTTAAACAGAAGTATAATTAATATTTCTATCTTTTATGAATTATATTTTTTTCTATTTGTCCTTTTTTTATTAATTTTTCTTTTTTTTTAATATATCGAAATTATTATTGAAATCTTTTTCAAAATAGCATTTGCTATTTATGTAACATGTACTTATTATATAATTCATCAGTTGTTAATTCTTGATGACATATTATATGACTGAAGGAACTGATGCTGCTAATCATTAGATATATATTCTTGGTAATTATTGGGATCATCATCGCGATAATTGGCAGGTATGCGTGTCAATGTGTTTATATATATTTATAGTTGAAAATAGATCAATCTCATACAAATATACTTACATAGAAGTATTTCATACAGAATTATCTAATACATTTATCATATTGATAAAGAATTTGCCATTCCAATGAAACGAGTAGCCTCTTTTACGAGATAAAAACATCCTAATCTAATTTAAATTTAAAATTTTCCGGAAGAACATTTAAACTTCGAACAAAGAACTTCTTTGGTAAGATAAAAGATTTTTATTTAAAATTTTATAGGAGATATTATTATTGTATTCTATATGGAATCATTTCAAGCAGAGTTTTACTTTTTGTGCCAATATTCTTGATTGATATTAAATTTATTTTTAATTAACGCTCAAATGGGTATAGAAGGACAAGAAGCGATGTGTGCACAGGCGTGATCTCGCAAGCCTACACAGAACAATCGAGTCACAAAGCGTGGAGCATGTGTGCACGTCAGCTGTTGCATCGCGCAGCTGTCGTGTACTGGGTGTCCCAGTATCGAAAGAACAATTTTTTCATTCGCGGGTCACTGCAAATTGCTATTTTTAAGCTCCTACGCTTCTTCGCTTTATTATTATCATATACGATAAAATTTTTTTAACACGAACACAGAGACCTGATTTATCTCAAATTAAAAATCCAGAGTTAATAACAGCAAATACACAGAATAAAAGTCAGCGTAGTTATAAAAATAATTACACAAATTGATTCTACGCAATACTAAAATTATAAAAATTCTTTTGAATCTTTTTAAAAGTGAAATGATATGTAAAATACAGTCTTATATTAATATGTTTAGACTCATGAAGCTCACGTGAATTCAGAAATTGATATGTGTGATGCGTTGTATTTGCTAACTCTCCTTTGCTATCTATTTATCTTTTTGAAGCTTTAAAATTTAAAGCCTCCTACTTCTAATAAATAGGGAAAAACATACTATTTTTCCCAATCCTCCTATAACGATAAGAGGATACCTTTGTAAGCTTTTTCATGTTGATACTTTTCTGTCGTCATTGTTATCCTGTTTGTTTTTACTTCCGTTCCCTTACCTCGAAGGACTTGTTTGAGTATACAAACAATGACTGTCAAGTTGTGATCGATATTTCCTTTGCTTCGAAAAATTTTTATTAAAATAAATTCTCAGATATAGATATGACGCGCAAAATGAAACGAAAATGGAGAAAGGAAAAGAGAGAAGCTGAGATTTTATTATTACCAATTATATTTTATTTATCTCAAAACAGAAATAATCTTGTAGTGTTTAAAGAAAAAATTATTTATACATTATTTAATATATATATTTCAAAAAGTAAAATTGCAAATAAGATATTTAAAATTATTACAAAGTATAATTATTATGATTATAGAAATAATAACATAATTATTAGAATACATATATGTATGTTCAATTTTAATTTTATTGTTTTTATTTAAATCACGTGTAAAATCCTTGGAAATTAAAATGTCATTCATATTTTTAGATTTAAATGAATTTAAATAAAAAATCAAAGAGGAAAATATTTAAGAGAGAGAGAGAGAATCGCGCGAGAGAAGAAGAAATTAGTTATACGCGTCTCGAGTAGTTATGCAGCCAGGTCACGGCAGGTTGTCGTCGAATAGAATCGATATTTGCCGAGCGAAATAATAAATGCTTTTTTTCCCCTTCTGCTTCTTTGTTTCTTTCTGCCTCTCTTTTTTCACGGAAAAAGAAATTTAATCGAAGCAACTTTCGACATAACGAAAATATCTTTAACTGGAAATTTAATCGATCAAGAAATACTGTTGTATAAAAATTGCGTTTGTTTCACCTTACCTGCATTAACGGCAAAAAAATAATTTAAGCAAAAAATATATAACTTTACATTGCAGCGCATAATTCCCCGTAGACTTATTTATGGAGATAATTTTTCTGTATGTTCTTTTCACAAAGATGATCGATTTTTGTTGAATTAATCCTTATGAAGACCATCAATAGATAATGAACGTCTTTTATCGAGGTAGGCTACATACAATAATCTTTCCTTCCATTAAAAGCCGATCTATTAATTATCCATGGATCCATGCATTACGTGCGGCTGCAAATCGGCCATTTTAATAGCTTTGAAGTCTGTCATATCGATATAAACGTCCCTTTTAACAGTGATTATTATAATGAAATAATATCCCTTCCCAGCTACCTCTCCCTTTAATTTCGTTCGATGGGCCACTTACCGCGACTGAATTGTGGTCTCTCGGTGCCCGCTGAGCTCGACAGTGGTCTTTAATTAAATATTTATAGCTTTGCCTGTAATATGAATTTATATGAAATAATATATTTAATCTGGCTTTTGTGTACATATATATATATATATATATATATATGTATTTAAAAAGAAATAAAAAGAAATATTCATTTTAAGTGTTTGAAACCTTCAAAATATACATATATATATATGTATATTTTGAAGGTTTCAAACACTTAAAATGAATATTTCTTTTCTTTATGTGTTACATAATTTTATTTAATTTCTGATGTCACTCACTTTAGATTTTTTACATTTGTTTCATATATTGGTACATAAATAACATTAATATTAATATCCAAGATATTTTTTTATTGTTAGTGTTCTCTTAATCTTTATTTCTCTCTTGACGAACGATATAGTAGAGAAAGAGATTATAACGATGGTAAATTTTTCCTTCGGAGGATATCGTTACATTGTCTCCAGATAATCCTCTCTCTAATCCACTAATCTTGGCCTATCGACTCACAAGTCGCATAAGGCCCATTTCGGACGAAAGCTATCGGTACTCAATGTAACAACCCTTTTCGAACCACTTCGAGATAAGGAAATGGGAGCGTAGGGAATCCGACTCACATGGTTTTCTTATCGCTGACCAAGGTAATGCTTTTCTTTTGCACCCTTTTGGGCGTAAATCATGTCGATTAAACGTGATTTAAGGCGAATAAACCCACAAAACACCCTGCCTTCTGAAATAAAATTCTTTTAATTCTTAATAAAAATTTAACATATTTAACATTTTTAAAGGAAGAGAAATAGCTCTCTCTTCTTTTGAAATAAAGAATTTATAAAAATATTCAAATGTAATTTGCGAAATTTTAATATATGTTTTAATATTTGTATATAGAAAATATGTGTCTTTTAGATATAATTAAAAATGTTCATTCTCATGCAATTCTAAAGATAGTGAAAAGCATAGGGAGAGCATTCTTCTTAATTTATTTTTAGTTATAATATGAAGAGTTTGTGAAAAATATTTCTTTTAGTTGCATAAGTATCAAATAATATGTATGAGTGTTAAAAGTTTTGAATTTATATATAAGAAGAAAAGTGCAATTTGAATCTCCGAATATAAAATCAACATGATGATCTCTTATCGCGACTTAAATCTAACCGTTACTCCTGTGGCACCCTATGGTGAGTGGGTGCAGTATTCGGGAGGGCGAGTACCTCCCGTTAGTAATATTACACGATGTGCCGGAGAAGTAGGGGCGAGAGGGCCAGTGAGCTATGGATCGTCGACCCTCGCAGTCGGCGGTTAACGTTCGAATACCTCGTACGTTACGTTCGAAACCGTAATCCAAAGGCGTTGGAGTGATAAAGCACTACCCTTTGTATTGTCCGGGATGAAAATTGTAGTGAACATAAATTGTCTTAATTGGTGGTCCTAATATTGAGTATGTCTTCGTAAAAGTGAAAATGGCGATTTGGTTAAAAACTATTCCTTAAATCTTCCTAAATAAAAAAGGAAAAAATTATCGAATAAAATGAGTTAAATGAATTAACAGATTATTGGCAAATGTAACAGATGCCAAGACGATGATAAATATGACAAAAAATTTAAATTTTGTTGTGAGATTTTCAATTTTTAATTAGTAAATTAGTAAAAGAACTTATAAGTACTTAGAGATTAAATATGGTAGAATCGTGAAGATAAATAATGTAAATTTATGAAACTTAAGTTTAAATTGTTATTGTTGAAAAAAATCTGAAGAAAATTTGTTGCTGACATAAAATACTTATGTTAGATGTAGATACCATCGCGAGATCAATCAACACGTGTTAGGACTTGAAATGAGATGTGAAATTATACAGGAGACAATTGTAGGTCATCCTCGACATCCCTATTTCCTCATGGGGAAAACTGTGTAATAGGCTTGCATTGGGTTTGCTAATTACTATTACATATATGTATATAGACTATATCAATGTGTTAATTCGTGACTGTGGTCTGGATAAACTCAGAATAATATCGATCGTCGATTAATTAACTGTGACATGCTAATTTCGCGAAAAGTTTAATTAATAATGTGTCTAGCTATCATAATACAAAAATTAAAAATATAATATGCATAAGATGTATCAGAAATAAAAATTGTGTAAAATATTATTTTATCTAAGAATAATAATATTTTATGGATTAATTAATATAGTTAATATACTAATTAATATATAAGATTGGTGGAAGGAATTTTAATAACTATTCTTATACAGAATGTAGCATTGCAGTTATAGAACATTTTAGTTTTTTTACGAAAAACTGTTAAAAAGAAAATGGCAATTAGGAATTGCTCGAAAAATTGGAATAAAACAGCAGCGAAATATTAGTAAAATGATAGACGATAAAATAAAATTGCAATAAAAGAGAAAATGTTTGTTACGTGTGAATGATAAGCAGAATTTGCGAACTTCTTTTATTGGAAAGGAATAATGGTGAGTAATTTTTCTAATTTAAAACTACTCAAAAAATGAAATAAGAAACAAAGTGACACTAATTTTTCTTTGAAGACATTTTGAACTTATTTTTAATTGCTTATATCTATGCTATATTAATATTATAATTAGAGTTTTTTCTAAATTTTGAATAAGACTATCTGGAATACAATTTGTGAACATAATTTTGAACAAAAATAAAGGTATACAAGTAACGTCATTGAAGAGAAATCGTCCTTTGTTTGAGAATTATCCTTGAGACGGTCTAATAAATCAATATCATTCCGGCCACCACTCAAGGCATCGTCGCCTTCCCGCGTGGTTGGTGCGCGTTTTACAATCGTAAAAAAGAGATGTTTTCACGTCGACGATTTCGGAAAATAAACCTCGGACCATGCCGTGAAAGGGTTTCGGAAAGCCATCTACTCGGAAGAGGCGCGCCCGGTTTATTTGGTTCTCTCGTTCTCGGTTACGCGTACCTCAAAGGCGCGCGAATGTTTGCTATTTCCTGTCGACGAGGTTGATTATACCTGGTATGCTTTTTAGTACGAAAAAATGATGAAATTTATCGTGAAAAAATTAAATGCAAAAGATAAAAATATAGTAAATTCAGAGACTATACTAAAAGAATTAGTAGAAACGTTGAAAGTAGAATTAGAAAATAGATGTGAAAATGTAAGTCAAATTTTGTTAAATCAATGAAATAGATAAAGTTAAATATAACAAGGACAGAAGCACGATAAATCTAGAAGGAAAAATGATAAATTTTTAAAAATTAATAGCAATGACAAATATTGAAAACACAAAAATATATTATAAATTCTAAAAACAGAAGAAAGTATTAAAAATAGAAAGCTGATGCATTTAGAAATCAGTAAAGAGGAATAATTTTTGAATAAAATCGCCGATTTTTTAATAAATCATTTTACAAAATGAATATTTTTTATTAAAAATTGATATTTCTTTACTAGAGGAAGTAATTCAAGCTTTTAAGCTCTTTCTTTAAACATAGAGAAAAATATAAAGAAAAACAAAAAATTTTAAATGGAAAAAGATGAATAAACCAGTGTGCGTCCTTCTTTGCAAAGGTCAATTGGTAGGAAAAAAACGTGGTTTTTTGATCCGCGGATTTTTTATCTCATGTTTATGGTTTTTTCACCATGCGTACGTTTACGATTCTCGCCTTAAAAGCCTAAAAAGCCTTTCTGCTTCCATCCCTGTGAATCACTTACGTTTCCACGTGGAGAAATGGGAGAAGAACACCCTCATTTTGCCTAGATAAACATTTTGATGTCCAAAGACCTCTTATTTCTTATTCTGTTTTCTAGAAAATTTTACATCGTTTAAAGTATCAATTACGTTTAAATGATTAAAAATCGTTATAATTAAATTATTTCCTTTAATTATTTTTTATCTGAAATTTTTATTTTCTAATAATTTATACACTCCATTTCATTTATGTATATTTTTCATGAAAATGCAAAAGTGTTAATGCATTTTTTATAATAGCTAGTACATAACAAGCGCGCGCCTCGCGCGCGCTGCGTATTGAATCCCAAACATCTTCCAATAACATTTATACCAATTTACATTTTAATTAAACAAATTTTAACAATTTTTGATAAAAAATTAATTTAAAACAAAAATGACGCTTTGCGCGGTACGTATTAAACTCCATACATCTTCCAGTAACATTTATACCAAATTACATTTTAATTAAACAAATTTTAACAATTATCAATAAAATGACGTGTTAATCGGCTCTATTGAATCGGCCATTTTTAAATAAAATCACGATTTTTTTTAAAATAGTTACATATAATTCATCTTTAAGATGAGCCCAGAAAGAAGTATATCTTTATTTTTTTTGGAAGATATGAATTTTTAAACATTGGGGAAAAGAGGCTTCGATGCAGGTAACACGGCAATTTTAAGATAGGAATCTTTTCTTAATATTTCTAGTATCGTATTTATGTGAAGGAAAGGTCGAAGAATACAGAATTTAGAAAATGAAATAATGAAAAATCGTTGTAGCGTCGCGTCATGATGGCGCCCATGTTCTGAATCATGCCACGAAGGTTGTGACTTCTGTCATACTCAGAAAAAATCAATATCTCTGATCTTTCGAGAGTTTTTAATCTTGCTTGGACCCAGATGATGATTAAATATCGACCTTGTTTTATTAGATACTCGCTTTTTTTAAATATTTAATTATAAGAAAAATATCGTTATATTCAAACAATTTTTAAAATTGTTGTATTATATTGTAAATTTTACTTAATATCTCTTAACACACGTAACAATTTTATTATAATATATTTTAGGATATGTAAAGTAATTTCTTTGGAAAATTTCTTTATATTTTAAAAATTTTGAATAATTTGATAAAATATGATTCTAAATTAAAATGTATACAATTTATATGTGATTAACATATATCATTTCTATGACAAACAGAGAGTTCCGGGTGGAGGGGGTGTGATTGTGGGGGGTGGCGGAGGATCGGCCACCCCCCAAGGGGCGCAGCAGGGTAGTCACAATCTAGTGTACCGCGTGGTGGGCTCACGTGGGCATTCCGGCGGTCACCATCCGCACGTGAAAAAGTCCGACAGTTCTCAGCAAACTGAGAGCTCGGCCTTCAAGCACCAGCAGCACCAACAGCATCAGCACCAGCAGCATCAGCAGCAGCAACAGCAACAGCAGCAGCAGCAGCAGCAACAGGGCTCAAACAGCTCTAGCAGTACTATCAGTTCCAACAGCCAGCAATGGAAGAAGTATATCGAAGCGGGCGCCGCAAGAGAGAGAGACAAGGAGGGCGCACCACCCAGCCCTAGTCCTTCTAGAAGATCGCAGGTACTTCTGGAAATATTGAATTTTTTGGACTTTAGGACTTTCTCTCTTTATTCATAATTTTATTGTAGATTTTTATTGTAGATTAATCATTAAAATTGACCTTTTATATGAATATGAATTAAATAATTATTATACTGATGATTGAATAATAATGATTTTCATATAAAGGAAATAGGATTATAATATAATAGACTTATATTATCCTCTGTTTATATATATGTATATGTATATATATATATATATATATATATATATATAAAACAATACTTACTTATTTTAACTATTAATGATATTAATAATAATAATCATGTAAATAATTTAAATGTAGGATAAACATCGGAAACAGACCATGGCCGAATATGCGAATGGCGAGAAACCGCAAAAAGTTTCATCGGGCACATCAACTGGCAACAGTAGCAAAGTTCGTGGGGTACCGCAAAGTTTTGGCTACGTTAAGAGGCATAGTGCGGGCACCAGTTCGAGTCCCAACGGTGTCCAAAATGGTAACAAAGATGCCACCAGGACGGCGCAAGTTAGCGCTGTGCCGAGGACTAAGGTAACGTAAAAATTGTTAAAAGATATATTCTATCAAGTTTTGTTTGATTTTTAGAAATTTTGATTCTTTTTTCAATTCTATTATTTTTCAAAGCTTGTATTTTTGGCAAGAGCAAATAATAACTATGCTAAAGAAAACTTAAAATAAAAGTTCAAACACAGAAATTGATTTCATAAATCAAATAACTCAAGATTAATTTAAGATTTTATTTAGAACTAAACAGTTTTTTCTTAGTTTAGTTCATAGTCAGATTTACTAGATAAGTAAAATAGAGGAATTAAGTTTAATAAATTATATACATATAAGCTGTTCCTTTGGGTACAGGTCAAAGTGTCCGGTGGCACGCAGACGTGCACTACAGAATTGCAAGCAAATTCCTCGGGATCAAATCAAGGTCATCACTACAAAAGCTACAGCCTCACCGGTCCCAGTGCTAGTCAACTCTCACAATCAGTTCGAGATCGTCTCATGCTGGGCTCACAGAGCCTGCCGAAACCCGGTAGTCCAGAATTCACTGCTCTTTTTGCATCTGCCCATCATCGCGAGAGAGGAGCTGGCGTTGGACCAGCGAGCACATCATTTTCGCCCCGGGTATTGAAACCGTCTGACGGCAGTCTCAGCGACACATGCAGTAATTACGCTGCACCTGATCTTCAGGGTTACTACGGCACACCCAACAGCCCCTATACCACTTCATGGATGAGACACAGCAACACTTATACGCCCAGTGGACGATCTCAAGGTAATCCGAATAGTCTTTTAATATTTTAAATTATAAAATTATACCAAGATTCATATAAATATAAATAGAATGAGAATTTGTTCTTTTTCTCTGATTAACATGATTATAATTATTAATTACAGTATATGTAACAAACCAAAAAAAGAACTCATATTATTTAACTCTAGAAAATATTTTTTTCTTAACAAATATATAATAATTGGAAAAAATTTACTTTCAAATACTTTCAAATTATTCGAAGATTCATTATTTATATGATTAACTCAGATTTTCGACATTAAAAGTGTTTTATGCAAACGCATATATTTAACTGTGTTGTATTGATATATTTAACAATATTTACAATATTTAACAATATATATAATATTTAATTTTATTACATTTTACAAAAATTTCTTTGAAAGGAGGACCGACAAATAAGGCCAAATTCTGCCTCACGATCGAACCTAAACTAATCTTTAAAAATCTTAAAAAATTCGAAAATAATCGACACGAAATAGTGGGAAAGTTGTGAAAATAACGCTAACGAATAGTAAGCTATTCAGTTTTAATATTGATTTATACGTAGAATTTAGAAACCAAAAACAGTCTATCCTACACCAACTTTAGGAAATTGCTTTATTTAGGGTCCTCTTTTCTTATTTTAAACTTTTTATTTTTATTTTAAAATTATGACAATTCTTTTAGGAATGGGTTTATGCGAAGCGGATAGCGTGGAATCATTGGGCTCGCATCGCGCGAGCTTGACACATGCTCGTCTCCTAATGCATCAGAGAGATTCTACGGGATCCCCGGCGCCGCCCAGACTAAACAGGAGTAACTCGATCAGGTGAGAAATTCTCAGCGTATCACATCTTGTTTATTGGGATTTCCATTTTCCCGGCTACATTCTTAAGAGATTTTCCGACCGTGATATTTTATTTTAATAATATTTTTATATTTACCTTTTATTACATTACAGAATGAAAGAATTTCATGATATCTAAATCTAAAATTCAATAAATATTTTTAATCAATATAAATGTTTTATCAAAAATATCAGAAATATCTTTAATACGATTAAATAAATACATATATATCAATACATTTCTAGTTTAGTTAATATTATTTAAATATTTATAATTAAAGGAATGTTTTGAGTCGATTGTTCGAGGACTCTTTTGGAAGTCACAATCTGATTTGGGGAATCATAAATGTTGATATTTATAATTGCTTAGATGCAACGTCCTTAGAATGTCTTCAGCATTAAATCTCTCGATCGACGAATTGCTTTTTTCCTTTCTTTGCTATTTCTTTTTCTCTTATTCTTTGATTAGTTGATTCGACCGTGAAATAACGCAGGACAATTTGATTGAACGTTTTAGCCATCTGCGAGACAGGACATTTCCAAGGTAGTGCGAAAATATATGCTCAGCGAGTCCATTTTCCATGCATAAGTATTAAAAAAACATGAACTGATTGTGAGTCGTAATCACATATACACACTCAAGAGTTGCTCTCACAAGCACCTGAAAAACGTATAAAAGCTTTAAAAAGCTCGGTTTTAATCCAATCCGTGAATTCAAAGATCTTTCGCAATTGTATCTTAAAAATTAGACTAAATTTTCAAATTTTTTGTATTTTAATGAACAGAAAAGAGATTTTTTTTATTTCTGAAATTGAAAATTATAGATTCTAAAATTTCGATCATTGACTTTTTAGAATCTTTAAATCCTAGAACTTAAAACATAAATTCTAAAACATGTAAAATTATAGATTTTATGATCTGTGGATTTTTAATCTTTAGAATTTTTGTATCTAAAATTTAGACCCGAGAAAATTAGAGTAGAATCATAGATTTACTAAACAATCTAGAATAAAAAATCTCATAGATTTTAAAATTTTTTAGATTCTTGATTTTTAGATTGTTTTAACAAGATGATTTTTCTAACAAGATTTTATGTTCTCTAAAGATTGCAAGACTCACGCAAATATAATTCACCGAATGTGCCCTACGTGTCTTTGACATATTGTTATTCGTGCAGCAGATTCTATATTGCCTATTATTGTTGCCAAAGTTCGTCATTCGATCGTGTTACTTGTGCAGCATGCATGCGCAGTGATGCTTCATCAATATTTCGGGCCGAGCAATCGAGAGCTATATGTATCCGCTATATATTCATTCTCATATTCGTCGTCGTAGGAATATTACATAACTCTTGGAAGGAGGGTAATCCCGTTTATTTGAATTAAACGAACAACTTAAATAAAAACTATTGGAAATGATAATGAATTTAAATCGGGGTGATGACGCGGATCGATAGCTCTTGCTCGATTTCCGCGAGATCGAGTGTGCGCGATGCTTACAAACCGAACCGGTCCTTGATTTTTTGTCGAGTGGAAATAAGCTTATCTTTTAATTAGAGGTCCCTTCCGGGATCTCGGCTAATTGCGCGCACACTCGGCAGGTAGACAAGCGTGTTCTCGTTGTCGGAGGGTTATCCAAGACACTCGAAACCCTCTTCTGTTAGTTCAAACAGCACATGACTGGTACTCTTGACCCTTCCTCAAGCCGGGAGTAAATCTTCTGTAACATAAATATCGCTCTTCAGCTACAAAAATAATTTATCTGTAATTTGATTAATACACTAAATTATATTTTAATTCTATATATTTTAACAATCAATTTTATATCTTTATTGATTTAAAAAAATTTGAAACATTAAAATATTGAATATATAAATAAAAAAGAATGAAAATTTTAAGTAATTACAAGTTTTAAAAAACGAGAACGTGCTTATTTGATAAAGTAGTAGTAAAAATAAATAGGTTTACAAGAGTAGACTATTACAATAGTATAACTAAAAATATACAGGTCTTTTCTAATATTATTCTATTAAAAACCTATGGCAATTATGTTTACCATTATATTGATTAAATGTGTCGCGCGATGTCGATAAAATATTCCAGACCAAAGGTGATCCTTTTGGAATCTAGTTCGATAGAGTAGCCGTTTAGAGAGATGTCTCGAGGGGAATGTAGAGAACATGTCGCGTTTGTGTTTTTACAGGTCCACTAAGAGCGAGAAGATGTACCCGTCGATGTTGGCTCGTGGAAGCGGCGCCTCGTCATCGGTGGGCGAGGAGGTCGGGATCGGCATGGGAGTCGGAGTCGAGCCGTATTACAGCGTTCCCGTAGGATCGGCGGGATGCACCGGCCAGCACTGGTCCCAGCCGACGTCGCCGACACCCACTCATACTTCACGGCAGCCGCCAAACTTGTACCAGCACGTACACAAGGACGATGACAGTGAGTGTGAATATCGTAAAGCACAGAATATAGTGCAACATTTTTCTGACAACTTATCATGGCAAAGGTACCGATTTCAACGTAACTTTCCTAATTGAATTTTTCACAAATAATTTTTCAAAAATAAAACATAAATATTGCACTGCATTCTTCTTAATGTAAAATAAAATGGGTTAAAGTCTCAAAAGCTGATTATAATTAGTACACTTAGTATATTACAGTACTAAAAGAAAATAATATATAATGAAGAGAAAAAGATAGAAATAAAATTTTACAAACTGCTCGAAGCAACGCATTATTTTTAGGGATCATAGAAATTTTAAAAAATCTGACAAGTTATTCTGTATGCGTGTGCGTGTATATATTTATGCAAATGATACAATTGATTTAGTTTCCAAAATCTGTGACACTTTCAAGCCCAAAAAATGTTATCGAAAATGATTCTAAAATTGAAGATTGAATTTATAAACATGCAATAAGAAGAATTTTGTGTTTGTTTCAGTTCATGGTTCTTCGGTATCCTTGGTGTCTACCGCGAGTAGCCTTTACAGTTCGGCCGAGGAGAAGCAGGCACACGAATTGAGAAAATTGCGTCGTGAATTACTGGACGCTCAGGAGAAGGTGCATTCGTTAACCAGTCAGCTTTCCACAAACGTGAGTACACAGCTTCAAATATACGCAATTTACGATTTTAACTTGTGTGATGTTATTTGAATTTCACACGAATATGAATTCTACGCCAACCTTAAAATGTATTCCTCTCTTATCGTGGTGATTGTTTGTTTCCGCGACAATTAGCACAGAGTTGTATCACCATAATTGCGGATAGTTGCGGATAGCGACTAATTAACACGACCAGATCTGTCACGGTCGCGAACGGGACACATGATGTAGTTAGCTATGTGGAAACAGAGCAAATTGGCGCAGATGATTAGTCGTAATTAATCGACAATTAGTAGACCCATGAGCCCAGTAGACTCTAATAGCTTTGAATCTCCAGAACCTGTTGCGACGATCCACATGACACGCATTCCATCAATAAATTTATTAGCTTCTGTATCGCATTCGTTTTACACTAGAGTATATGTTAAATGTTTAATATCTTTTAAAATTAAAAAAATTGTAATTACAAAGATTTTCCATTAATCTTATATTAATTTATTTTTTATAGATATTCTTAATCTGAATTTTATAATAACTTAATTTTAAATATTTTATTAAAAAATTTAATAGCATGCAAAATTAATATTTTAAATGTTTAGAATTAAAATATTTTAAAAATTTAAAGAAAGAATATTGAGTAGCTCACAAAAAGCTTTTTAATTCCAAAAGAGAATAGAATATCCAAAAGACCGAATATTAAACGTGTTAATATTCAACTGAATATTCAGCTAAAAACGGACATTTTTATTTGAAAAGCGCGCGTTGCGTAGAGTGAGTGATCCCTCGAATTCGCTGCACCTGCAGCCCAATCTTCTTTCTATTTTATATCGACAAGCCGAGACCTCGTGATTCTCGCTGCACCTGCAACCGAATGGCGGCGGGACCACGAGGTCTTGGGTTGTCGACCAATAGAATGGAGCGTCACTCGGGCCCCGTAAACCGCTGCCAAGTGCTGTATGCCGTGGCGGATCCAGCGGATCGCGCTTTGCGCACTCACGCTCAGACTCGGACCACTCAGTTCCTCAGTTGGCGAGTTGGCGTCAGTTGGCGTCGAGATGCGCAGCGTTCTGCGTCGCGTTTATATTTTTCTCCGCGAATCGATCGTGACCCATCAGTGTTTGTTTGCGATCTGGATCAATACAGTGATTTAATATAGTTTAAAAGATTTGTTAACGCATGGATTAATAAAACGACGGCTTTGGATCGAAGGAGAGGATCAGAAAGAAAAGTAATTGCAACGGAATCGTTCGTCTGGATATCTGTCGATATTTTTCGGGTGCATATACGATGCATCAGCCTATCCTCTGATACGTTATCGCACGTTATCGACAAAGATATTTCGAATTATTGAGCATGTGAACATTGGAATGTTGATAACATTTTACTTTAGTTTGTTTACATTTTTTTAAAATGTGAGAAAATAGACACGTGCATTATTTACTTAAAGACTGACTTCTTTATATGATGAACTTGCAACATTAAATTTTCTTTGAGTAACTAAATTTATTCGTGATTATGATGATAACATAATTGCAGATCTTGTTCCCTTATATTAAATAATTCTCTATTGGATTTTCTATTAATCTTGCTATTAACTTAATTATTATCATTTAATTTTTTCTACAACTACTAATCTACAATATTGATTAACGTGACTGACGTAGCAGACTTTATAGAATATATAAATAAATATTTGGTTTAGTAAACAGTTTTAATTAAAAAATATTTGTTCATAAAATATTAATTGCGTGTCATTTATAATTTATATTGTTTTTTAGAATGATGTTCATCCAAGTTGAAAGTTTAAAATCTGAATCAAACGAAGAAGTTAAGAAAAATTGGAGCCATCTTTGATAATTTAATAATTTGATTATACTTTTTATGATAATTTCATTATAGTTAATTTTTACTAGTGAATTCTTGACGCAAGATTTTGCGTTAAATTAGACACCGCGAAAATTCACGTTCATCTTACTAGATATCGCGATTCTCTAAGTATGCCGCATTTCTCTCGCGTTACCCCTACAGCACAGTAACCTCTTTGCGATCTTCAACATCGAGGATGCCCATACACGAGATAATCGAATGCCATGAAAATTCATTTTGGATATAACATCCTTATATCTAAACGAGAAAACTAATTGTGTGTCTCTCTCTTAATTATGCAACTTATTTTAATCTCAAAACGAAGAAGAATTAAATTAATCAGGATTTTATTGTATCATGAAGTTCTCCTATAATTATCCCTTCAATTTATAATTCGATTAATTACTGCACATTAGTTAATTATTGAAGAGGAATCGTTCTAATCAAAAATAAATAGTAATTGGTAGTTTTCTTCATTATCCTTTGATGTGACTGAGAGACGTTGATGTCACATGGAGTAAGGAGACCTCGTCGAGGTCACAGGTTCGTTCATCGCACTCTCGGATGTACACATGTACATATATGGCAGAAATGAAGGGAATCCTAAGTCGTTCTTAGGAGTCGTGAATTTTTGCGCGGTCGCCAGTTACATTGCGCATTCCCGACGCGTAACACTGTCGTCGTCGTATACCTTCCTCTGTGTCCGTTTTTCTTTTTTCCGTATATACGACACCAACTCAATGCTGAAGAAATCTCATGATATCGTACCCGTATATAGTTATTGACACTCTATGTATGGCGAAGTTGTTGCAGAATAAGTGCAATCTCGATATAAGATGCCTACAGAACTTAGTTTTGCTTAAAAATTTTGTGTTGAAATAATACAATTCTGTATCTCAAAATTTGATACATTTTATTTTGGGGGGGGGGGGATACCTTAATTTATTCTAAAGTTCTAATTATATCTTAAAATAAAAATTTCTAATATTTTAGGTTTATATTAGATTTTATATATAACGATAGCAAATCGTGATAAGTGATCGCGTATACCGTGAAAAGCCGATCGATTGACACAATCGGTTAACTAATTAAATTTCTGGAACTATTATTTACTAATACTATCTTTCTTATCGGTATCACATATTGGCGCCAAGCAGAGTAGCACATACGGTCACAACATGCACATACACATGCACTTTAACTAACACTCCACACTCTAATTGTACGTTTAATTGCTCGTAGAACATAAATCGCCGCGAAACGCTTGACGGAGCGGAAAATCCAAAGCGTTCGCTCGATCCAAAATGCGAGCCGAATCATTTCCTGCGAGTCTCCTCCGCTACATGATCGCTAATTGTCCAGATTTTTTCCTTGGATCGTGCTAATTGCACTGTAAACAGACGAGCCGCTGATGCTAATCCATAAAAACGCGATCGCGATTATCTCTTTCTTTATTTTATTCAGGTAAAAAGTGACGAACTTTCATCGTTCTCTAGCATACAAAGATTTCAGGCAATCGTAATTCTCCTAGTTTTCACAGACTTTTAATTATTGGACTTAATTTTTTTATGTAAATTTTGAAAAATTTCTCTTATCGCTGTTTAAATCAACTATTTTTTACTGAAACATCATTAAAACTATAAGTACGTAGGAATATCTTACTTCAGAAATTTTCATATATCTTTTTATTAGTTAAAAATTCTAATGTTACGCGAAAATGCAATGAACCGCATCATAGTTGTAATTAGAGGTTTAGAGAGTGAAATACCTGTATAGACGCTTCTAGCTCCGGAAGCTGGGCAACAGGTAGTAAAACTTTGTAGAAACCGACCACCGCCTCGGGGAATTCGAGAAGATGATTGGCTCGTACATGGAAATTTAAATCTCTGCTCAGCTTGATCCTCTGTTTTACGATCGCGTATCACACGCCCCGTTATCGTAACGCGAAGCAGCCTAATTTCTACTGATAGATCGCGCGTGATAGAATGTATGTTTATTACATCCGACAAATAAATCGCGATCAATTGATCGCATCATCGAGATTTACGGTGAATGTTTTTATAATATGTTTTACAATTACGTCATATTACCGCTTATGCTTCTCGTATTAGTAAAAAAGAATACAAGGTAGTCATATTATAGATTTATATACATTATATTGTAATACAATAATTTTACTTATGATGATAAAAAGTTCAGGAATTATGTTCCCAATAGTTTACATTTCCTGTATTAGTGATTATGCGATCTTATTTGAAACTTTTATTGTTTATTTATTTTTAATAATGCCTGCGAACACTTTATTTTCGACACACATTACAGACTCGTAAACATATGGTACTTAAAAAGGTTCAAGGTTTTAAGTCACTTCAGTATCTAAGAGATTTGAGTTCAGTTTTAAACAAGACTATCGTTTCAAAAGAGGAAAAATAATTTTAAACGTTATTTTTTAAATACAACTTAAAAATTATTAGCACGAATTAGTTTACAAGAGAGACTGTCACGCGTGCATATTTTGATCGTAGAATCCTGCTGATAAAATACAATTATATTTTCAGGAATAAAAGATATCCTGCCGGATAAAATTATAAATCTCTGAACCCCCTTGATTCTTTCGATGAATCGCCGTCGTGAATTTACGAAAGCGATTAGCAAATTCAGAAATATTTATCGGAAAAAATAGCAGTGTAAAAGATTCAGCGCACGTTGTGACGTTGATCCTTGCGAGACATTGTATCGAAAGCAAAGAGCAAAGAGCAAGAGAATACATATGCTGACAATACATATGCTGCTTTCGTTCTTTTGTGTGCAGGCCCACAAAATTTACGACCTCCTCGCTTGACCCCGCGATTTTACGGCGACAACAATCGATCCTCAAACGAAAGCTTCGGGATAAATCCCTTAAATCCCTTAAATTTTCCAAGAATATCGTCTTTCCAAAGAAATTCGATCAACGTGATTTCTTACAATTTCCATAGATTTTCATGGACAATACACAGGATGTCCTCGTAAAATTTTAAAATTTATATATACAATAAAATAAAATTAATCACTATATATATTATTCAATATTTTTGAGAATATTTTATTAAATTTAAATATTTTTTTATAAATTTTTTTATGAAAAATATTTAAATTTAAATATTGAAATGATTTTATATATATAAATTTTGTTTATTTAAAGTTTCTTATGAAATTATGCAACCGCTAAGAAATAAATTAAAGCCAAATTATGTTAAAATAAAAATAGCCTTTATGCATGAATGTAATTACGATTATGTAAAGATATTTACAATTTTCATCTTTCTTAAGTTTTTCATTTTTGAGATTATTATTAAGTACTAAATCTCATATTATATGTAATATATTTCATATCCCACTGTATTATTTGCAGTTATATGCTATT